TTTTTTTGGAAAGTACAAACCAGACCCAGAGATCGAAATGTCCGATCTCTTGCTTGGGAAATCTCGGGAGCCCCAGTCTCAGGACGGAACTTTTTTTCAGTACTTGTTTTGCACCTTATTAACAAAATCGCGGGCATTTTTGATTTCTGGCACCAGATCTGGAAACTGCACCAGCACGCCAGTGTCGTTCATAATTTGCGGTATGGAATCTCCATCAGCCCATGCTTCCATGCGCGAAATCATTGTTGCATGTTCGACGTTCGGTATCTCAATGGTAAGCGTCACATTTTTTGGTAACGGCGTCTGAAATTTTCTGTGGATTTTGCTCGAGCGCCAATGAACAAGTTGGCTGTTGCATTAGTGGTAAGAAACGTTAATAATGAAAAAAACCGGCTGGTCAAAGCAAATAATAACATGGGTTTTTAAAAGTTCCACAATTTCATGAAAACTTGAAATATGTGGCTATATTAAAAGCAGTGCTAGCGAGTTTTTATTGCGTCAGCAAAAAGAAAATTCGCGGGAATCAACCTATTTTTTTCTTGAATTTCATATTTAATAAATTATAAATGGATTTTTTTGAAAGCGTACCATCAGTTATGGGAAAGCCTGGATAAAATTTTACTAGACTGGAAAAACCACACTGACTACTCGGGAGGTTTTGTTAATTTTGCTACTAAAAAATAATCTCAGCTGTTGTCCGAAAAATGCTAACGTGTCCCAATCACTCAGGAACTGCGTTCCTTTCGAAAAAAAATCTGATTATGGCCATATTATTTGATCATTGTCAGATCACAAACTCGGGCTTTTTCCAAATATTTTCCACGCCAGAAAACTCAAAACCCCCCTTCTGCATTCAGCCTGTGTGAGCAGTAACTCGAATGGCTGTACACAGCGATCAACCACATGCCAGCAAGACTGTGGAGAGTGCCTTGGATATTATTTGAGACCGTAAAATCATTACTCGTTGCAGTCTCTGTCCATCGCAGCTGATATTCAGATTTCGAAGTCGTTTTGCCTCCGAGACTCGGCGCTGTTCATCGGCTTGCTCCGTTCGCTTCTTCATCAGTTCAAACATCTGAAATAATATTCATGCTGAATTTTCATGGGTAAAAAGGAAACGAGGAAAAAGTGAGCAGGAACTAGGGGCTGTTAGGTATGGGAAAATCAAAATTTGGGGAAAATTTTTTTGTACCAATTTTGAAAAAAAGTATCGCCGATATTTTTGAAAATTTTTAAACTCGCTTTCACTTTTTATAGCAGTAACGAGAAAGTAACTAGCCTCATTTCACTCAGGTTGAACTTAAGGCCAAAAAGCATAACACAGTTTG